GAAAAGAGTGGAGAATGCGCGGGTTTTGGCGCGGAAACAATGCGGACCACTCCAAATGTGTGGGCTCCGCCTTGGTTTCGAACGGGGCGAGGTGTCGAAGACCTACGTAGCGGTTTTCCAGACTCCCGCAAACTTGCGGAAAAACACACAGGTTCACATTGAATGGCAAAGTGCGTCCGAACAATTCGGTCCATATGTGTGGACGTTTTGAGGGTCCTATGTTGAAGATGTCCTTGACTGCCCCATCTTTTATTGACTTATCAAATAAAATTGTGTTTAATTGATAAACCAATAAATGTTTACCAAATAATCCTATAATTAATTTTGGCTGATAAACCACAGCAAGATTTTATTTTATTTTGGCAGGTAAATCATGGGTAGGATTTATTTCATATAAGCACTTATCTACACAACCACATTAATAAGAACAGGTAAATCACGAGCTAGAATATTTCTACCCATTGCAACGTATGAGCTGTAATTCTATGAAGTTCAAAAGCAAAGTTCGCTACTTGTAGGTGGCGCATCTGCATCGATCAACATTTCATCATGGACATTCAGAACCACATTTGAGCTATGTTTGTTCAGAATAATATAGCGCTGCTTAACATAATCATTAAAAAAACTGTTACACAACGCCTGTTTTCATATAAATGATCAGGAGGTAGTACGCATATGATCATAATACCCTCGGTGTAGCAATGAAACCGATCATGTGATCAAGGAAATACACGCCAAATCTAAAGATGAGGGACAATAACATCAAAGCGGCACATCCCTCAAAATTATTCTTGGACGATAATGGGGCCAGGAAGATAATTAGAACATGCGCCGCCGATTTGGAACAATCTCAGGGCTGTTGTTTCTCATCATGGCAACGAACTCCTGGTAGTTGATTCTTCCATCCTGAACAATTAATAAGAAGCAAATTATTAGCACCGTGATGAACTGAGCCAGGCAGCCATTTGTTAACTCAAGTTATAGCTCCAAAAATGTAAAATAGGGTCAGTAATGATTGTCATTCTCCATGGTGAAGCAGAAGTAGTGACGATACAAGTTTACGGATGGAGTCATAGAATCGGTTAACAAACTGGTTAAGATATATTGCACACATTCTTATTTATACTTATCTACATGAATTTAGTTCAATGCATTTATATACATCACTAATATAGATAGATGAGTAAATCCTAGCAAAAGCAAAACAAAAGAGATGACAGCATCATGAAAGAAGTCTGACATGTGCACATGGCACACGCATATCAAACTTTTCATTCCTGAACAAGTGGATTATATGTGCAATGATTTTGATGTTTGTAACATAGACTTACATGATCTGTATCTACTTCAGCGATAATATCTTTAATTGTTTTATCATCCCCCATGTCATACTTCTTCAGAGCTTCTTCCAGCTCATCTACTGTTATGTATCTGCACACAAAGATTTCAGCAATGAGAAAAAAAATGCAAACAGTCACAACTCAAAATTTGACATTCAAGTTTAAGTTCAATTACCCGCTGTGGTCCTTATCAAAATATTCAAATGCTTTAAGTATGTGGTCTTCCTTCTCCAATCTATTCATGTGCATTGTCGCTGATACGAACTCAGAATAATCAATGGTCCCATTTCCATCAACATCAGCCTGTTTTGTAATAAAGGGAAAAAGAATAAGGACACAAAATGGCTTATGCTAGATCTACCGAAAGTTGGAAACAGTTGCAAAGCACTTTTAAATGCTACCATCAAACTCTTCCCATCAAATGGCACACAATGATATTTTGTGGTCTACATTGATACATCATCGTCAAGAAAGCTATGTGAAGTTGCAAGTGGCCTATTTTCTTTTTCTTTTAAGTAAGGTAGTTGCTTCCAAACTTCCGAACTGGATAGGTCATTTGGGTTAAACTTAGGGAATTCATATGGTATGGGAAAATGTAGCATGTAAAAAAAACAAGAGTATATGCCTGTGGAGTACAAACATACCGCCTCCATTAACTGTGTAATTTCTGATTCAGAAATTTTGGTGCCAAGTTTTGGTAAACCAGATCTTAGCTCTTCAAGAGTAATTGTCCCACTGTTATCAGTGTCCAGGGATCTGAACATTTCTTTCAAGCCTGTTATCTCTTCCTCAGACAAGTTCTCTGCAACGATCTGGTTATAATGGAGAAAAATAGTAGACTTAGTTGCTAATGAAACTCAATGTCAGTAGGGAAGGTAAATATTATGAAGTCTTCAATAACCTTCAATGCAACTTTCTTAAGCTTGTTCATCGCCCGGAATTGCTTCATTCTACTGATAACAGTAATGTCAAGTGGCTTATCTGGAGCCTCTCCATCTTCCCTAATCCATGGGTGATCTAAATGTGTAAAGTATTAGATAAGAAAGTATATTTGCAAACAGTACATAAATGAATATTTAGTTCCTAAAAAAAGATGACAGGTCTTCAACAACGAAAATAAACTCAGTAATCTACTTCTGAATTACCAATAGAAGTATAACATTATTAGCAGTGCTTTTGTATTTAAAAAACTACAGATGGAACACACTGGGACGAATGGCTGATGTTGATTTGCTACTAACCTACTAGGCAAGTGCACATCTATTTACAAATAAGAATGCCATGCTATGAAATGTGTGTGCAGTCACATGATAACAGAAAGAGCAGTTGAATAATTACTCAAAATTTCTGCAGCAGTCAAGCGCTCTTTGGGGTCTTGCCGCAACATCTTCTTCACCAAATCTTTTGCACCATTAGATATTGAAGGCCAAGGGTCAGATGAGAAATCTATGTGACCAAGCAAGACAGCCTCAAATATGCCATCCTCATTGTCTGGAAAATAGAACATGCGCGTTAGCAGATAAATAAAAAGCAAAAAATCTAACTGAGATGCGAATTGGCACACATCACCTGCCCAAAAAGGAGGAACACCAGACAGAAGGATGTACAGAATAATCCCCGCACTCCATATGTCAGCTTCTGCTCCATAGTGCCGCTTCAGAACCTCAGGAGCAACATAATACGCACTTCCAACGAGATCCTTAAACTGCTCCCCTGTAAGATGCAGAGTAGCCCTTAGCTCACTCTAAACATGCCGTGAATACAAAGAAAATTAACAGCCAGCTCTACTTTCTACTTTCTAGTGATAAACAGCACGACAACAACAAGAATCTTCGGCGGTGACCAACCGTTTGCATGTGAAGCAACTGGTTTCGTCGGATAATTTTAGGTATCATTTCTGATACACATGCCCGCATGTTTTGCAGGTATATATGCCATCCTTTTTTCCCCTCAACTATCAATGATAGAAACAACACTGTGCTCAAAGTGTATATAATGCAAATCTACAATGTCATTTCATTATCACATTGTGCACCAAGCCAGAGCTGTCCCCAAAGTAGTAAGGTTAGATGGTCGATCACTAGACCCCCATATCAACAACAGCACACAACAAGAATCACAGCTATAATATCTATCTACAAGATCTAAGTATGACATTAAGCATAAGCCAATTGCTGTCTCGTATCTACTCCGTAGCTCTAATTTTAGCACTTCCCAACTTCAAACCTGTCGATCCACGGAAATCGGTTCAAAGTCAAACCAAAATCCACATCAAGTCGAACACGGGAAGAATCTCCCATAATTCAATCCATATAACCCGACTGAGGTGGTCAAATGAAGCGCTCACCGTGTTTGAAGAAGACGGAGAGGCCAAAGTCAGTGGCCTTGAGCGGCGAGTCCTCCTTGTTGTTGAGAAACAAAAAGTTCTCGGGCTTGAGATCCCGGTGGAAAACCCCCATGGAGTGGCAGCTGTGCACGACGGAGACCATCTCGCGGCAGAGCAGGGCGGCGGCTCGCTCGGAGTAGTGCCCCCGCGCGATGATGCGGTCGAATAGCTCCCCGCCCTCACATAGCTCCATGATGAGGTTGACCGAGTGGCGGTCCTCGTAGGCGCCGCGGAGCTCGACGATGTTGCGGTGACCCGTGAGGTGGTGCATGATCTGCACCTCCCGCTGCACATCCTCGATGTCATCGCGGTGGACGAGCTTCCGCGTGGCGATGGACTTGCAGGCGAAGCGCTGGCCCGTAGCCTTGTGCGTGACGAGGTAGGTGACCCCGAACTGCCCCCTGCCGAGCTCGCGGCCGAAGGTGTAGGTCGCGCGCACGTCCTCCATCGGGCGTCCCAGAACGCGGCCCATGGCCACCTGTCCCGCTTCCGGCGTCGGGGCCGGGGCCGGCGCCGTCTGGGGCTTCGGCGGCGGCTGGGGTTTGGGCTGGGCCGTCGGCGGAGGGGCCGTGGCCGGCTGGTCGGCGGCGGCGCGGCGGTGGCGCGAGGTGCGGTTGCCCATTGTGTGTGAATGGGTTTGACGAGGGGAGATCGAGGCAATAGGGGGCCGGGTTTTGAAGCAGCAGCAGCTCTAGCGTGGGAGTTTTGGGGGAGAGACGACCGCGTGATCTGCGCTGCGGCGTTGGGGTGGGGGATCGATCGGGTGGGTGCGGAAGGGAAGCGACTTGCCGGGCTGTGGCGGGGAGCTTTGTCCGTCCGTGAGCCGTGAAAGAAATCACTGTGTGTTTCTAGTTCACCAAAATTTAGTAGTATAATTTGATGGGATTTGCTACACTTACGGACTCCATCTTATGCATTAGAAGCTACAGGCTGACATGGCATCAGTTGATTAGGAATCAGGAGGGCCCACGACTGAAAGCACGGGAAGGAGGGAGATTCATGGGGGGACACGTACTCCAGTAAGCCCCTTCCGTGCGATTCTGACCGTAAGTCTAGGATTTTCGTAATTTGATTCCTCTTTAAAAGTTTAGCACGATCTGACCCTCCCAATCACGCTGCGTTTGGTTGACAGGAAATTAAAGAGGTTTTGCAGGAATTGAAGGGGACTGAATCCCCTACAAGTCAAATTCCTCCAAATCAAATACAATAAGGATAGCGTAAATGGTGTTCCCTGGGCTATGCCACGCATGCGATTTTTAGTGTCACGATAGGGCACAATTCCCGCAAGTAACACCTCCCTCGGTTAAAAGAAAATAGCCAGAGAACTTTAAAAAAGGAAATAGGCAGAGAAAAAAGAAACTTCCCCACGAAGGCAGTCAGGCCGTATCCTTCCATCCCAGATCCTCTGGCTTTGCTGCGCACGCCTTCTCCTCCCTGCCGAAGCAACCTAATCCATCTTCCCGACCGCGACGCTAGGGTTCCTAGCCGCCTCCACTCTGGCGCCCATTGATGGTCCTCTCCACCGTCGCCCGGAGGTGCTCTGCCCACCTCTGTTCGCCCCCGAGCAGGACTCGGCCCACCCAGCGGCCCCTCGGCCCCTCCATGCCGGTCGTCCGGAGCTGCGCCGCCCACCACATCAAGGTAACCTCCTGTTATGGTTGCTATAGATTAGTACTCTTGCGTGTTCTTTCCTTTTGGGTCCAGATGCTATCAATTCCCTATGGGTGCATTCTTGCGTGATTAGTACATATGTTGTTGATTCACGAAGTACCATGGTTACAACTAACTGCACTCAGGTGTTTCTGATATTATTTTGGGATAAATTTAGTACCATGGTCATGTTCATGTTCTGATGTTGTTGATTCCCAAGTGCGTCCATTGTACTCTAGAGTGTCGTGGCCATGTTTTGCTATGAATGGTTGCTATTGATTGCTTGTGAATGGATTTGGAGCAGGCCGACCATGCCCCTGGAGGTTGGAGGAGGCCTTGGGAATGGAGATGGTGAGAGCGGTATCCTGTTGCTGGCAAGGCAGACCATGGACAGCGCGAGGAAGATTTGGTCATTTGCCCGATGTGGCAATGGACATTTGATTAATGACCAGTCCGTTCGGTCACTTATGTTCAAGCTATTCATGTGTTTTTCTTTTGTTTTCAACTCATGTGGTGATTTTTTGATGGGTTTCAAACTTCCAATTTTATAGATTGGAGGCTCTACGGATGAAGATCACGGAGAACATCCCTCTTCCTTTACATCTAAAATTAAACTTACAAGTGGTCGATTCGCGAAGTTCAAGTGTTTATCAAATTGAATACAAGGGTGATTAGGATTTTACATGATTCTATTTGATAACTGTCATAATATTCCATACGAACTGTTTGCGATGAGACAAAACAACATAAACGGGCAGCCATATCAAGGTGTGTGCGATATACGGCATACAGTTCGCTCCGATTAACTGTTTGTGATTAGGCAACACAGCAGAAACGGTTAGCCAGATCAAGGTGTGTGTGTGTGTTATATGGCATACGGTTCACTCGGACGAACTGTTTTCGATTAGGGTACAGAACAAAAATGGTTCAACTTAATAAGATATGTGTGATATGCGGCATACAGTTCACATAGATGAACTGTTTGCGATAAGCCAAAAAAACACAAACGATTCGTGTAAATAAGATGTGTGTGATAGTGGGCAGACACGTACACGTACATCCGAGAACATGGGCCCACGTACGTCATCCGAGGGCTGTTTTGGGCTTTCGATGCGTGGCATATGGTTGCTCCATAAGAACTATTTGCGATGAGCCAGAACATTAGAAACAGGCTTTGTAGGCCCAGAACCATCAATAAATTTTGATATTGTTTCTCGTCACATTGCATATTACAACGCAATAAGTAACTGCAAATCTGTTCACACCGATCAAACCAATATGTGTCCACACTTAGCACCGGGCTATAAAAACTAACCACTCGAAAATTACTTCACAATTCCTCTCCTCATCACCCACAAAACTGGTATTTTCTGTCCAGTCGTTCTGCCATGACCGGTAGGAGGAGTTTCGGGTGGACATATAACCAGGGAGCAAAGACCAAGGCCGCAGAAGCACTAGAGAGGTCCCTCCACCAAGGGTCAGCCGCAGCAGAGATATCCTGGCGCGCCGTGGAGCCCTCAAACGAGCTATCACGGGCACACGAGGGCTCTCACAAGCGCACTTGTTGCATCGGTGATCGCGACGAGCTCGCATTGCTGAAGTCCTTGGCCGGCGACAATGACATTCTCGTTGGCCTCATTAAGCAGCAGGAGCTGGTCGACGGCTTGATGAAGCTGCTCGAGATCAGCGATGCCTCGGTTGAGAAGGCGACCAGCCTCGTCGAGCAACTCATGGGTGACAATGCGAAGCTCCTCAAGGAGCTCGCCGAGAAGGAGGAGGAGGCCGCCGGCTGGAAGATGCTGCATGAGCAGAGCAGTGCCTCGGGGATGACACTGACAGCGGTCGTCGAGGAACTGATGGGTGACTTGAGGAAGCTCTGGATCGAGCGCGAGAAGGAGGTGGAGGAATCCGTGGCTGCTTTCAAGCAAAGTCGTGAGGAATTGAAGAAGGAGCTGGAGGATGTCGTCGCTCGGTGATCCATCAAGGAGTAAAGACAGTAGCGAGCTAGATCGTTGTCTGTGATTTCCTTCTTCTCTTGCCACCGCGTCTTTCGTGCTTTACCGCATATGGCATTTTAAATTATTCAGAATATGTAAGACAATTATTATCCGTGCCATTGTAAAATTTGTCGTCGTATTATCCATTGCCAATTTATTTGTTGTTGTATTATCTGTTGCCCTATGTGGCATAAATTAGGTTGGAATACGAGTTGAAAACACGAACAAAGAAAATGCTAATGTTGAGCGGGGCCATGGGATCACAAGAAAACACCCTCCGTCCAGGTGCTTTAATTAACCGCGTGTTAAACAGTGCTAGGGCGCCATTAATGAAGAAGTTGTGAGCGAGGCGGGCGACTGGTGGATGGAGGTTAAAGAGCTCGCTTCCCGGTGAGCATGGGTGAGGGAGTCCTGGACTAAGGGGTCCTTGGGCATCCGGCCTGTTAGCCATGGGCCGGACTGATGGGCTGTGAAGATACGAAGACCGAAGACTGCACCTCGTGTCTGGATGGGGCTCTCCTTGGCATGGAAGACAAGCTTGGCGACCAAATATGTAGATTCCTTTCTTTGTAACCGACCTTGTGTAACCCTAGATCCTCCCGGTGTCTATGTAAACCGGAGGACTTAGTCCGGAGAAGGCATACATTACCATAGCCATACAAGCTAGACCTCTAGGGTTTAGCCATTATGATCTCATGGTAGATCAACTCTTGTAATACTCATATTCATCAAGATCAATCAAGCAGGACGTAGGGTATTACCTCCATAGAGAGGGCCCGAACCTGGTAAAACATTTGTGTCCCCTGTCTCCTGTTACCATCGACCTTAGACGCATAGTTCGGGACCCCCTACCCGAGATCCGCCGGTTTTGACACCGACATTGGTGCTTTCATTGAGAGTTCCACTGTGTTGTCATCAAGAGGTTCGATGGCTCCTTCAACCACCTACAACGATGCTGCCCAAGGGGGAGTTTTCCTCCCCGGACAGATCTTTGTGTTTGGCGGCTTGGCTCTGCGGGCCAACTCGCTTTGCCATCTGGAGCAGATCGAAAGCTACGCCCCTGGCCATCAGGTCAGATTTGGGAGCTTGAACTACGTTGCGGACATCTGTGGGGACTTGATCTTCACCGGATTCGATACCGCGGCTACCACTCCTGCCCACCCCAAGGGACATGACCTAAATCTGTCATCGGACTGCATCCAGGAGACAGCTCCCATAACCGCTCTGGCCTTAGATCCGGAGCAGACTGCGCCATCCAAGGACGGGAATCTCAACCCCGCCACGGAGGTCACAGATTCGCTGGCGTTGGAGCCGCACATAGACTTGATCTCACACGATACCTGTGTTAGGGAACGTAGTAATTTCAAAAAAATTCCTACGCACACGCAAGATCAAGGTGATGCATAGCAACAAGAGGGGAGAGTGTTGTCCAAGTACCCTCGTAGACCGAAAGCGGAAGCGTTAGCACAACGCGGTTGATGTAGTCGTACGTCTTCACGATCCGACCAATCTAAGTACCGAACGCACGGCACCTCCGAGTTCAGCACACGTTCAGCTCGATGACGTCCCGCGAACTCCGATCCAGCAGAGCTTCACGAGAGAGTTCTGTCAGCACGACGGCGTGATGACGATGATGATGTTGCTACCGATGCAGGGCTTCACCTAAGCACCGCTACGATATGACCGAGGTGGAATATGGTGGAGGTGGGCACCGCACACGGCTGGGAGATATCAACAGATCAACTTGTGTGTCTAGGGTGCCCCCTGCCCCCATATATAAAGGAGCAAGGGGGAGGCCGGCCGGCCCTCTATGGGCGCGCTAGGAGGAGTCCTCCTCCTCCTAGTAGGAGTAGGACTCCCCTTTCCTACTCCTACTAGGAGGAGGAAAGGAAGGAGGAGAAGGAGAAGGAAGGAGAGGCAGGAAAAAGAGGAAAGGGGGGTCGGCCCCCTAGTCCAATTCGGTTTGGGCTAGGGG